CATTTTCTTTAAATCAATTTTCGTAAAAGTGTCTTGAAACGTTCTTAAAATACTTTGGAATAGGAATTATGGTTCGTTCATATACACCTTGTTTAATGTATTGATAGGGTCATGTACATTGTCCGAAAGTAATTCAAAATTAACCTACATTGGTAAAATATCTTTTATAAACGTTCAGCAATCATTTTTGAATCTTAAGCAATAAAGTAAAGGTTGCGATTGTGAAAAGCGAATCTGGTATCACATATCCAATTTTTCAGAAGTTGCGGAATGGCCAAAATAAACCATGAGTAATTTGACATAAATTCCTACCATCTTCTTTCCCAAAGAGATTTAAAATCAACGTTTGATTCGGTAACTTCCTTGTTATGTTAACAGTCATGTAATGATATTAATGCGCATTTTGTATTGTTTTGTATATGACAGTGTCGAAATTTACATGGCACCCTGAGCCATGTATATTAAATAACGAAGCGTGCAAGAACGGAACGTGCTCACGTAATTTGGTCCATTTATAACGTAAGTTGTTTTCTTCCTTAAGGTACACCTGCCTTTGCGAGAAACCCTATTAACAGAATTATTGTTCAACATCATTTTCCGCCCAATGAAATCCCTTCAGTTTTTAAAAAAGTGCGCTCCCTACCGGTCGCTTTCTTTAGCTTTTTACAATTGTTAAAATTTCACTTAATAAACACTAACATATACGACGAACACGAAACTTGTCTGAGTGTCATTTTGAATACAAAATTGTGACTTTTGGGATTGACAGTGTTGTTGTGCACGCTCGACCCGTGTTTCTCCATGTAAAATTTATCAACAGTCTTAAATCTATACTTTAAATAACTCAGGTTTCCCGGAATGGCCTACATAATGTAGACGGAATCGGTTGGTTTGAGATAATTGGCGTCAAAGCGGAAGCGGTACGTCCCCATTCTTGAGATGCTAAGTATAGATTGGAGATTCACAAAATTACAGTTCTGTATGTTTCAGCCAAATGTGGTTTCTTGAGCCAATGTAACAATTTTGTAACTAGCTTTCTCATTGGCTATTGCGATCCCTGATATTCTACCCGTGCATTGTTGTTTTTGCACTTGCATGCTAATTTACAGCAGCAAGCCTCCAATTTCATGCTAATTTTTCTTGACATATTTGAAAATGTGTTTAAAAGTGAAATATTGTGAAGTTAAGAAGGAATTGAGTACATTTTTCTGAAGTTTCATTTTCTTAAAACATTGTGGCTCATCTAGAGGCATGCAGCTTTAAAAAATAGTGCGTTACTTATATCCTTCGAAGGAGAGCCCTGTACGCTTGACCTACTTTTTATAATATTAAATAGCAAGCATTACTCTGATTTAGTCATCCAATTAACCGGTTACATTTTATTCATCCCTGCAGTTGACTAAGAAAGTAGTCCCTACTCACGTGGTCATAAAATTTAACATGGCGATATCTTCACCGGTCAAAGTTCTGCAAATAAATTTCTTGACATGTTTTGCGGCCAAATCATCGCTAATTAATATCATTGGAAGTAATTCCTGTCAGGAATGTGTCTGTCACAATTTAAGCATCACTGCATTTTTATTACATTTGCGTAATGATTGTATATGGAGCAGAATTTGGGTATTTATTCGCTGTTTATTTTTCAATTTTCTGTTTATCTAATTTATATTCGTATTTCAATAAATTCTTATCTATAATCATATAAATTCAAATTGATTTAAACAATTTTAATTCTTACTTTTTAATTGCCAGTTAAACATTTGTATTTTGATACTGCAGAATCAATTGTTTCTACTTCTTGTTTAAACTACGTGATTAGATATTATGTTGCATACTTCTTCCTTTTCAATTTGAATAATTTAGTTTTAACTTATGATCTTGAACGTCCTTCCTTTTAAGAATACAAAGTGGGTTACATAACAATGAAATAAAATCTATACGAATGCACTTAGACGAATACGAACTGCAATAACACGAATACGAAATTACATTGAAATTCAAATTTATACATCTGGCCGGGAACCAATATTTCCGTACAAGTCCGTAATTTCTGACGGTGTAACCGTTGAAATATTCTCTTCAAAAAAATCCACGAAATCCAGGGTAGCACTCCACAGTTAATTTCAAGTTCTGCCGTCAATGCCCTACAAGCAATACGTCTAATAATTCTGATACCAAACTACACAACCTGGAAAAAGAAAACACATTTTGTTGAGAACATATATGACATAAGATTGCAAATATACAAAGAAATCATCCCATCTGCAATAGGCAGGCAGTCAAAAAAAGTTCATATTCATTCCGTTGAAGCCCAAAATCTACAGTGGCCCGAGACCCAAAACAACACATTTCGTCCATCTGGCAAAAAAGACCTGCAAATATACAGGGTAAAGGAACACCGTCTCTGCTTTAGCAACTCCCTTTACATGCAAAATATCACAAAGAAACTGGTGCTCAACCTTGTAGATTTTTTACTACTGCTAATAGTTTGTACCCCCCCCACCCCCACCCTTCTGTAAAATGACTTGTTTTTACCGTGCATGTTGTTTAAAAGCAATGTTTACAAAAAATGGCGGCCTTGACATCTATAATCAACAGCAAGTGATTTCTGGCCATGCTTTCGAATTTGCAAATGATTATATTAGATGTCACAAAAACAAATTTCATGCTGCAAATGCACTTTAAAGACAACCAGTCATTTAACTTTTTCCCTCATAAATATAGACGTATTTTGACGGCTTTTTGCCCCCCCCCCCCCCCTTTTTGAGGCATCAAACAGTGCAAAAATGCCCTATTTAGGCCCCCAACACTGTTTTTTATTTGAGAAATGTTGTTAAAAATGTGACCACTTTTCGGCGAAAAGCCTTTTACTCTATCTTAATTCATGGAGAAGTTGCAGCATTTTGAAATCAGTTTTGTTGGAAAAAAAAACAATGCAAAATAGTGATTTTGAGACGTTCCCATTGCCATGGTAACAGAAAATTTACGATTGAGCATGCTGTAACAGATGCCATGGTCAAGTCAACATTTGTGCCAAGTTTCATCAGTATTGAAGCATTTTTTATAGTTTCATAGCAGTTTGAACTTGTAACAGGAGGCTTTTCAATGAAAACTGCCATTTTTCACAATATGCTCATGGGGTAAAAGGTTAAATCCAGAATATTCACTATATCCAAGAAATCCTCCCTGGCCATTCGAAGCTGTGGCTTACATTACTGTGGTGTGCTACCTATAAACTTGGATTAAATCGCCGCGTAGCATTGTATCCTCACACCTTGTGCTCACGGAAAATACCGAAGCGATACATGAGTTATCTCCCGTCACTAAGGTTTTGCGCTAGAATTTTACAGCTAGGACACAGAAAGCAAATATTAATCACGTGGTTTCTAGTTTTTATTTGTTCTGCTGTTCTTCTTATTGAAATGAGTCAGTTTTATTTCGCTTAAGGTTGCTTAATGTTAATAATTTCATAAAGTTAGAATATGGATAAATCTCTATAACAACAATTCTTATAGCCTCTACATACAAATTTATTTTCAGTGTGAATCGAATGAGAATAAGAGTTGCACAAATACATTTGTAAGAAACAAGTTCGAGAAAACACACTTTCTTTTAAATAAGTAGAAATAACACATGTTAAAAACAAAAAGTAAATTTATTGGTATCTAATATTAAATTAAACGAATTAAGATGAAGTACTGGCATTGGCTTTAGAATATTACAACCTACTAAAACATAGTAAGAAAGAATAAATAAATATTTAAGTAAAGAACTTTGATTAACTCACAGATGAATCAAATTTGTAGGAATATGATTTAAACTTAAGCAAATGAAAACAACAAGTAGTCAAATGAATAAATACCCAAATTCTGCTCCATAATTGTACATTAGTGATGGGGCATGATGAAAAGTTCTAATGATGATTATCAGATTCATTATTTAAGTCACATCTTACTGCATGCAAAAACTATTTCTGCTTTGTTTCCATGGTTTTATTCATTAATGTGCGTTAAATGGAATGTTTCCTTATTCATCATGTTTCGAAGGTGTTATGTGATCGACGAACGACAACTCTGATTCGTGTCAGTTTAAGATTCAACCATAATGCTTTCCCTTTGATGGTTTTTGAGGAAACCTGATAAAAATTATATTCTGAATGTGAAAAAAGGCAATAGTCGGGTCATTTTTGTATACACCCTATAAGTGGGATTTGACCAAAGCGGCATACATCAAAATACATACAATACACCTTTAAATTATTTTAATATTGAATTTTATTTTTTTTAGTGAAAGGCCATTTATTTCTCAGATATGCTTTTATTTTTATTTCTTAAAAGCTCTTTATTTTGATCCCCCATTATAAATTCCAAAAAGTTACTCATTTATCTAATTTCCTTATCCATCTTTCGCTTCGGTCCATTTTCCCTAGGCAATTAGTACAGTTCCAGTGATTTTGGTATTTTGTATGGAAATGGAAATACTAATTTGTTTAATACATTTTACTATTGTTACTACAAATAACGTCAAGTTCGGCGCTAATTTCTTTATGTTACAAACATCTTACTTGTCTAAAACAAAATTTATAGTTACAAAACTGACAATGGCCATAAATTTTCTAAAGTAACAAAAATTTAATTTTTTCTAGGGCATAATATGCCTTTAAGGAATGTTTAGATATTCACAATTCATATGAATATTTGAATGTTTCTAGCAAAATTAATTAAGTTAGCAATCGATAGTTACTGTTATTCTTAGCATGATTTGAGTGCAAATATTTTCATTTTTGGGTAATTTTGCGCAGTAAAAATTATCATTCTTGGGAAACGGGGTGAGGGATTGACACCGGTCTACATCTAATGGTACAAAAATGTCGGAAAATATTTCCTAACACGTCATGTCTAAATCTCAGTGTGGTGCCATAAACAAAACAAAAAACTTGAGCGTCTTCATTGTTTTATGATAATGATTTTCAATAAAACCTGAATGCATAGACATCTGGTCATTTATTTTACAAATATAATTTTTATTTACATTTTGCTAAATATCACAGATATTTATTTAAAAGAAATTTTTAGCACTTTAAGTAAACTGTCCAACATCACTTGCATAAATTAAATTAACCTTCCGCTCGAAAATAAAGACCGCCTTAACCAATTTAACACTACACAATTTTGAGTAATGAGTACATCTGTACTTGCTGCAGCCTTTGCCAGCAGCAAAGAGTTAGGCCAGCCTGCAGGCTCTTTACTGTTGGCTGACAAGCTGACAAGATTTTCTTAATATCTACAAAATGTATAATAAACAGTTCGAAAAAAGAAATGGAACCAAGTAGGTTTAAGGCTCTCAGAATCTTGCATAATAGCCTTGTATTCGGAGCAGTCCTGAAACTGTCCTGATATGGATACAGTTGAACGCGTATTTTTTGGAAAGGATCAGTAAAGTAGGTCTAGACTACAGCAAGCGACGGATCGATATCAGCAACGAAGCGACCAAGCCAACAAGATATGTACTTCTCAAACCAGGTACTGAAATAGACAAAATTTGAAACAAAATCATTTAGAATATAGAAACAAGAGTTTGTTTTCCCCTGTTTTTGTGCTAAACGATAACGTTCAGCTCTCAATCAGTCAATGGCCAGGGAACTTTTATGAGATTGAAAAATTCCTAATTCTAAACTTAACTAAAGTGAGCTGAACAGTATGTACCTAGAGTGAAAAATATTTTATTATTTTGAATGAAAAAGTTTCGTGTCGACTGAACATTTTTAAAAATCATTGGAGTGACCAGTCCTTGAATAGACTATTTCATTATAATTAAGTGGAAAGTAATTCTTAGCGCGGAGAGTACTTAATAATACGGACGTATCATTTCGTAATTATAGAACGCACATTATTTCTGAGAACATTAATGAGTAGGACTCCTTTGAAATTTGCAATACTTTGTTATCTATGATTAACAGTACTACCTAAACGTGTATAGTATTTACAAGAGGTACTTAATAACGTGAAACAAAATGTTGATACAACAGTGAATAGTACTGTATCATTTAGAATTAAATCTCCAGTTCTCTCGACCTAAATTATTGTTTGCAAAGTTCTTCTGAATCGGTTTATTCAAATAATTGAAATAAGTATCAAATTCAAGAATAAATCTATATTTTTGTTTATCTTACATGACTTTTTTATACGTCGGTCCAATTACAACTTGGCAACTGAAGGCAACATGTTGCGGTTGATAAATCTATCACATACGTTTTATTACAGCTTTAAGATAACCTGTGAATGTACCTACCATTGGAACCTAGTGCTGGATCATTTATTATGCAGAGTCCACTTCCTGGGACGCAGTTATTGCTCGGGTTAGTTGTACCAGTTGATGTTGAGGTAGAAACCGACACTGACGCTGTTGCAATAACAGAGCTGCTACTAACAGATGCTGATATTGTTGCTGAGTTTGATACTGGCACTGAGACAGAGCTCGATGCTAACAATGTACTTGAGGTCGAAACTGATACTGTAGTGGAGCTAAATATTGACCCTGTTGCTGACGTTGAAGAAATTAAACTTGTCTGTAGTGGTGTTGAAAAAAGAGAAGTAGAAACTTGTGACGAAGTGGAAGGGTATAACCCATTGGATGATACCGAAGGACTGGAAGGTATCAAACTGCTAGATAAATAATGGGAACCTGATGGGTTCAAGATAGAGGACGAGGTAAATGAGCTTGCAAATGTCGAACTGCTAGATAGGGAATCGGAGCTAGATGGATTCAAGGTATAGGACGTGGATAATGAGTTTGAAGGAAGCAAACTGCTAGATAAGGAATGTGACGAAGATGGGTTTATGACAGAGGTCATTGATAATGAGCTTGAAGGAATTAAACTGCTGCTAAATAAGGAATGGGCGGTAGGATTCAAAACAAAGGATGATGTTGAACTTGACGGAATCAAACTATTTGATACTGAATGTGAACTTGAAGGATTCAAAGCAAAAGATGATGTTGAACTTGAATAAATCAAGCTGTTTGATACTAAATGTGAACTTGAAGGATTCAAAGCAAAGGATGATGTTGAACTTGAAAAAATCAAACTATTGGATACTGAATGTGAACTTGAAGGATTCAAAGCAAAGGATGATGTTGAGCTTGAATAAATCAAGCTGTTAGAAACTAAATTTGAGCTTGAAGGATTCAAAACAAAGGATGATGTTGAACTTGAATGAATCAAACTGTTGGATACTGAATGTGAACTTGAAGGCTTCAAAGCAAAGGATGGAGATGAGCTTGAATATATAAAACTGTTGGATAGAAATGGTGAGCTGGAAGGACTCCAAACAAATGATGATGATAATGATGTAAGTGTAGTCAATCTATTGGATACCGATTGTGAGGTATACTGCATCGACGTTGCCAAAGATGATTTCCAATTGTAATTACTTGATGACGAGCTAGACGGATTATAGCTATATTGCATCGACGAAGTAATAGACGGTTTCCGGCTGTATTGCATCGACGATGCCAAAGATGGGCTCCAATTGTAATTACTTGATGCCGCGCTAGACGGATTATAGCTATATTGCATCGACGAAGCCATAGACGGATTCCAGCTGTATTGCATCGACGATGATAAAGATGGGTTCCAATTGTAATTACTTGATGCTGCACTAGACGGGTTATTGCTATATTGCATCGACGAAGTCATAGACGGATTCCAGCTGTATTGCATCGACGATGCCAAAGATGGGTTCCAATTGTAATTACTTGATGCTGCACTAGACGGGTTATTGCTATATTGCATCGACGAAGCCATAGACGGATTCCAGCTGTATTGCATCGACGATGTCAAAGATGGGTTCCAATTGTAATTACTTGATGCTGCAATAGACGGGTTATTGTTATATTGCATCGACGAAGCCATAGATGGATTCCAGCTGTACTGCATAGATGATGTCAAAGATGGGTTCCAATTGTAATTACTTGATGACGCGCTAGACGGGTTATTGCTATATTGCATCGATGAAGCCATAGACGGATTCAAGCTGTATTGCATCGACGATGCCAAAGATGGGTTCCAATTGTAGTTACTTGTTGACGCGCTGGACGGTTTATTGCTATATTGCATCGATGAAGCCATAGATGGATTCCAGCTGTATTGTATGGACGATGCCAATGATGGGTTCCAGTTGTTATTACTAAATGCTGCACTAGACGGTTTATTGCTATATTGCATCGACGAAGCCATAGATGGATTCCAGCTGTATTGCATCGACGATAATAAAGATGGGTTCCAATTGTAATTACTTGATGCTGCACTAGACGGGTTATTGCTATATTGCATCGACGAAGCCATAGATGGATTCCAGCTGTATTGCATCGACGATGCCAAAGATGGGTTCCAATTGTAGTTACTTGATGACGCGCTAGACGGGTTATTGCTATATTGCATCGACGAAGCCATAGATGGATTCCAGCTGTATTGCATCGACGATAATAAAGAAGGGTTCCAATTGTAATTACTTGATGCTGCACTAGACGGGTTATTGTTATATTGCATCGACGAAGCCATAGATGGATTCCAGCTGTATTGCATTGACGATGCCAATAATGGGTTCCAGTTGTAATTACTAAATGCTGAACTAGACGGTTTATTGCTATATTGCATCGACGAAGCCATAGATGGATTCCAGCTGTATTGCATAGACGATGTCAAAGATGGGTTCCAATTGTAATTACTTGCTGCTGCAATAGACGGGTTATTGTTATATTGCATCGACGAAGCCATAGATGGATTCCAGCTGTATTGCATCGACGATATCAATGATGGGTTCCAGTTGTAATTACTAAATGCTGCACTGGACGGTTTATTGCTATACTGCATCGACGAGGCCATAGATGGATTCCAGCTGTATTGCATCGACGATGCCAAAGATGGGTTCCAATTGTAGTTACTTGATAACGCGCGAGAAGGTTTATTGCTATACTGCATCGATGAAGCTGGAGACGGATTCCAGCTGTATTGCATCGACGATGATAAAGATGGGCTCCATTTGTTATTATTTGATGACGCACTAGAAGGAGTTTTGCTATATTGCATCGACGAAGCCATAGACGGATTCCAGCTGTATTGCATCGACGATGATAAAGAGGGGTTCCAATTGTAATTACTTGATGCTGCACTAGACGGTTTATTGCTATATTGCATCGATGAAGTCATAGACTGATTCCAACTGTATGGCATCGACGATTGCACCGTTGATGATTTCGTTGGACTTATAATGGCTAACTGACTTGAGGTTATAGACAAATACCAGTTTATTGATGTTGCTGAGGGTGCTGCTGAAGGGTTTAATACTGAAGACGACCCAAAACTCGACCAGAGTTGATTCCCGTGGACAGTTACAACTGAAAAAAAATCAAATTGTTGAAAGTTAGATTAGTATACAGTATAAAATTATCGGGTGAAATCAGTTGTAAAATTAATGGATTAAGCTTGATGTTTGTTAAGATATTATATCATCTGTTCAAGCTAATTATAAACAATGTAATACATAGTCAGGGTGTTCATAGTTAATTATGTAAAACTATATTAACCTGCTGAATTTTTGGAATGGACCTGCCAAGCTTTGCATTTGGAACAATCCATTCAAATGTTGAAGTATTTCAATATCAATATACATGTACCAACAGTATTGAACCTGCATGGATGTGCAAACTGACCTAGTTATTTACTCGTGTCAAAATGTAATCAATCTTGGTTAACCAGCACGGGTTTTATTCTGAATTTAAAGCACACATGAAATATTAAACAAATTTCAAATATATAAAAGACTGCAGTTTACATTGTTTTGGAGAGGAAGGAGGATTTTAGAGAGGGTAGGATGGTAGTGACCAATCAACGTGCCGAACATCTGTGACTTATGTACGTAGGACGGAAGGGCCATTGCAACTTCATGAATTCCCGATTTCATCTTTATGAATTCACAATTTAAACTTCGTGAATTCCCGTTTTCAACATATGGAATTCACGAATTCACAATTTCAGTTTCATGAATTCACGACTTCAACTTCACGAATTCACGATTTCAACTTCATGAATTCACGATTTCAACTCCAGGAATTCAACTTCGTGAATTCACGACTTCAACTTCACAAATTCACGATTTCAACTTCATAAATTCACGATTTCAACTTCACGAATTCACGATTTCAACTTCACGAATTCAACTTCGTGAATTCACGATTTCAACTTCCCGAATTCACGATTTAAGCTTCACGAATTCACGATTTTAACTTCACGATTTCAACTTCAGAAATCGTGAATTCGTGAAGTTGAAATCGTAGATTCTTAAAGTTGAAATCGTGAATTCATAAACTTGAAATCGTGAATTTGTGATGTTGAAATCGTGAATAAAAATAATTCACATCGTGAATTCACGAAGTTGAATTCGTAAAGTTGAAACCGTGAATTCATGAAGTTGAAATCGTGAATTCGTGATGTTGAAATCGAGAATTCATGCAGCCGAAATCGGGAATTCATGAAGTTGAAATGTCCCCAATGGTCTTTTGTACTTATGTGTACGATTACCTACGTGAGTGCATAAAATTGATCATTACGTTTTGTTCTTTGTGCCATATTTCTCGAACTTAAAATAGAAAAAAAGTTGAAAGTTACACAGCTATGATGACTTTTGTATTTGAATTTCTTTTTATTACTTGCACATCGTACGCTTAATGAATCTCATTTAAAAACTAAAATCATAAGAACCAGTTTATAAAATTTGTTATGCGCATGCTTCACTTCAAAACAGACTTAACTTTTTAAACGAAAAATTAACATCGACCTGAACAAATCGGTAAAAGGAAAACAACGGAAAATATCATTTACATATATTTTACACTACGAACAATTCATCCCGTTTTCAATCATATATATCAATTGGCAATTATTTTTCTGGAAAGCGTTCCACTATATCATGTTTCGAAAAATAGTAACAGTAAACACTAAAGCTACAATATCACACTGCTAGTATTATATGACAGAAAGAACCATGTACGAAACACCTCGCAGAAATCAAACAATTAAACAAATCTTTCACGGCTTCATAAAACCTCTCGCATGTTTGTTTTTTTAAGAAGCAAACTTGATTTAATTATTGATCGACGATTAGACAAAACGGTGTAGGGAAAAAAACTTTTCTGAGGCGCATGTCTGAATAATCAAGGGAGGTGATACATGTAAAACCGATAGAGAGGATTCAGGTATGTCGGAAAATCTATTATCTAACTAAAACAGATTGTCTTTTCAACTTCTCAAGTAGCAGTCACTTTTCTGCGGATATTTCGAACAAATCGTAATACACTGTAGGTACAAAAAGCAGTACAACTGGTTGAATTATGTCATTTGATGGAAAATCGAATGCATCAGGGGACACAATCCATCAAAAACGCTTACAAAAAAGATGTACAATTTGTTATTTTTCCATATCAGCAAACAATAACCACAGATAATGTTAGAAAGTAATGTGCTACAATGTAAGCATGTAGTTAAAAGGTGCAAAAATAGATGACTTCAAATATATTTTTCAAAAGTAAAAGTATTGGGCAACGTCTGCAATTTGTTTACCGAAAGTAGAAAGGGGTGTGCTTGATTACATAATTCTGAGTTAAATTCTCAGAACAATGTTCTTTAAACACGAAAATATGCCAGTGTACATGTCCAGAAATACCCGAACTCGCTATAGCATTCTTGAATATGTTAAAAAAAATGAAAACGTGAAAAAAAAAAAATCTTACCTATCATGACGATGAAAACGAGACTGGAATATGACGTCATGTTGACTTGTATTTGCTGCAGCCTGTAAGATACGTTCAAATAACCAATAAATATTATTATCAAGATGTAAATTTTGCAAACACATAAGTTGAATACTGAATCAGAAAATCAGGCGTGAAAATGCCTTACTCTCAAATACAACGGAAATAATATTATATGGAGGCCTTGACTCATTTTTGTTGTTGGTTGAAACAGAATTTATTTTACATCGATTGTTTGGTAGCGTAAAGCTTATAGACACACTCTCCTGCTTTCTGGAACCAACCAATACCGAGCAATGAGTGTAAAGTTTCTTGCTCAAGGTAACAACGACTCCCCCCTGACAGGGTTCAAACACACGCGGGTAGCGATCCTAATATAACTAGTCCGACGCGTTAACAACACGAACAGGCCGCTATTGTTGATGTTTGATGATGTTGTTGTAAGTCTATCGGTGTTGTTGTTGTTTTTGTTTGTTGTTGTTGTTTTGTGTTTTTTGTGTGCTTTCTTTTGTTCGTTAAAAATTCTATTTCGGTTAAAGAGTAATCAAGCACGATTCCAGCAAATGCGATACGTTTTTACACGAAATGGATGCTTTCAATAGAATTTAATAAGAGGAAACGCAATTTTGTTTACTCCCTGCGAGACAGTATTTTGTGTTGTTGACATTATTGTTATTGATATTATTGATGTTTATTGCACAGAGTGATTTATGAAAGTTGATAACACAATGACGGCGCTCCATATTTGTGAGATAATAGCTTTTTAATTTATTAATAAAATCTGTTAAGTACAAGTTATAAATAGGTAGATAAGTAGAAGTAATAACTTTTTCAACTATTTGAATTCATTGTTGTTGATAAAATATTGTTTTTAAGGTTTTACTGGATGAATTACTTTCTCAATATTGAAGAGCTTAACTATCTTAACGATATTGTAGGAGTGTTATAGGAGTATTACATGATTTGATGATTTCTTATTCTCACAGCCAGACCTTGTAGCGTCACCCGTCACGTGACATAATTTAAGACATTGTCTTGTCGTACCAGATACACGTGTATTAAGCCTTTACTTCATATTGACGTCTTTTCACGCCTTTTCATCCCCCACCCCGCTTTTTGAGGCCTTAAGTGGTGCAAAAATGTCCTATTTAGACCCCAAACACTTGTTTTTGTTTAAGAAATGTTGTTGAAAAGGTGATCACCTTTTCGGCGCCGTCCCCTAGCAAAAAGATACATCAGGGGGCGCCAGAAGGGAGATAAGCCCCCTTCTGCTTAGGGGTTCGAAGGGGACAGCAGCCACCACATCGCCAAGAAAATTTTGGACTTTTGAGAGGCAAAAATTAGCCCAAGTTCGATCTTAAGGTAACGTGTAACTAACGCTGAAAAGCTTTTGACTCTATCTCAATCCATTGAGAAGTTGCAGCACTTTGAAATCAGTTTTGATGGAAAAAATCAACGCAAAATAGTGATTTTGGGCAATTGTGAGTGTCCCTTTGGTGCCATGGTGACAGGAAATTTAAGTTTGAGTATGCCGTTCTATGGCTATGGCCTAGTCAACATTTGTGCCAAGTTTGATTAATATTGAAGCATGTTTTATAGTTTCAAAGCAATTTGAACTTGTAACAGGAGGCTTTTCAATAAAAACAGCCATTTTTCACAAAATGCTCTTGCAGTAATGGATTGAGACATCAAACTTTCGTTAAATCGCGTGATCATCTGTAACATGCTGTAACAAGACTGTCAAAATTTAGTATTAGACAAAAAAATACGAATATTTCGAAATATTCCCGATTTCCATTTTAAGCGCATATATTTGGTTAAGTACGGTACAATTTTTTGTACTTTACATTGGGAAAACGAAATGATCGAGTTGCTTCCAAATACTTACTCGACAATTAGATATATAATAAACGCGATACAAAGTCAAGGAGGTCCAATAATATGTCCTTGATTGAATACTGTACTATCGAGGGTGACCTTTTGGCAGATCTCGACGGACATAATTGTTTGTTGTTTTTTCTGTTAAGTTATAAATGTTTTAATCCAGATTTACAGAAGGTAGGGGTTAAAAGATATTTAACCCTGTTTAAAATTACTATTGTTATTGGTAGCCAATATAGGCAACCTTTTAATGTATCTAATTTTATCTACAGTCCACGAGAAAACGAATTGGACCTCAGTTTAAAGCCTCGTCGGAAAACAGAAAAAGCAATACAAATGTATTTGTATTAAATAATGTCTAGACGGTAATTACATGTACATGTATACGTGCAAAAAAAACCGGCCTTGAAAATTGTTTGCGTATCCGGTGATAAGTCAAAAGCTTTATTGCAATGAATAATGCGTCATGAATTGGTTCCTGTTTTCTTTACACATACATGAAAGAAAAGTTAGTTAGACTGAGCCCCAGATGTCCGCCCACTTAGCTCAAAAAGAGAGACCATAGGGTGCGTAGTCCAGGGGTCGTAGGTTTGATCCTCTCGCCAAACGTACTATCTCTGTGACAATGATCTCGGACAAAGAATCTTATGGTCATATTTGCCCCTCGCCGTCACTGATTTAGAAATCATGTTGGATAAGAAGTCAGTTTCTTGCGGAGAAATTGAAAATAACTGGTTAGATATCTTGGAAATTACACGATACAACGAAAACACGTAGTTATTCGTATGACACAAAAGGCTGCAGAAAACATTCTATTACCATTAAATACAGCGAATAAGTTATGAGCGAAAAGAGAAAATTACTTCCGATTAAGTTTGTATATTTGCCTCAAAACGAGGCGCATTGTAAAACGAGCCATACGCGTCTTCTTCTCAATAGCAGTATGACTAATGTTTTAACATTAAAAATGTTGTATATGATATGATGCATCACTTGAAAAATATATGAGCCGCGCCATGACAAAACCAACGACCAGCATGCGCAGGCTGGTCTGGATCCATGCTGGTCGCAAACGCAATATGTTGGTTTTGTCATGACACAGCTCATATAATTTTCCGTTTCTTTTTAATAGAACCACATTGGGCAGTTCCGATCACCGAAGCATTATAGTCGTTATAAAAAAATCTTCATTTTTATAATTTCTAGCGTTTTTTTTCTTTTATTTTTTATTCATTTTTTTTCAATTTGTAATATTACTATTTATATTTTTTAACATGTTATATTATAAGTTATAAAGATTTTATATACAGTTTATATGGCTGATATAAAATGATATTTGTATATATAACCCGAGCCGCTAAGCGATGGTTATATTGCAAACAATCGTTTATAGTCGGTGAATAACCTGTCAAGAATATTTTTAACAAATTTATGATACAGCATATTTCGTTTTTTTTAAAGATATATTTTTCATATATCGACAGCAGCCGTGAAATTTGGAAATTCACAAAAAGTCGAATAATATAATTATGAAAATATCACCAGTTGGGTGAAAAAAATATCCAAAATCACGTTTTTCACATAAATCCGTCAAAACACTGTCTTTTTAAAAAAAAATAAAATGTTCCTTTGGTACTGTAGTTAAAGTCTTAAAATCTTTTAAATTTAGAAGAAAAAAATAAAATAAAATATATAAATAGATAAATGATTAACCTTTTGTAAGTTAAAAGGCACAGCGCCGTTTCTCTCGGTTTGGTGTAAAAGAAAAAATCAATTGATATGATGGTCTTTTTAATTAAATGACATGACATTTCTAACTACATGTAATATGTTCTTAAGTGTTTACAACAATATTGATCCTGACATTCTACGAGAACGACTTAACACCCCGTCTGTTACTAAAACACTGTCAAACATATTATTTTCTGACCCTGTGAACAATAAAAGAACAAGATTAAGTCAATATGTAAACAGTTGCTTGCCTGTTACAGATCAAATTCAAGAACAAATTCCTTATTCATTATTTAAAGACCCATTGAGCCTAACATGCTATAATTTTCGTTTCTCATTGTTTTATTCATTTTTTTTAATTCATTCATTCATTCATTCATTCATTCATTCATTCATTCATTCATTCATTCATCCATTTATTCATTCATTCGAATTCATACATTCATTCGTATTCATTCATTCATTCATTCATTCATTCATTCATTCATTTATTTATTTATTTATTTATTTATTTATTCATTTGTTATTTTTATTTTTTTGATGTCTTTTACAATGTCTCATTGGTCATATAGTTAAACTGTATTTTGCTTCATATGCATTTTGGTAATTAATATAGTTATAGTGCGTCCTAAACATACTTATTTACGTTTTGCTTGTTTACTAGTTTAATCATATCACATTCGGCACTACTTTCTTTATATGATACGAACCTAAGATGCTTTCTATTCATTACTAAACATTATTAAAACTAGTTTGCCCCTTCTAAATAAAAAGATATATTATTTATTCTTGAGGCATAATGTGCCTTTAAAAAACTAATACTATTGTTAAAGTACATTATTTCTCAGGTATAATGTTGAATGTAGACTATTGCATGCGACTTCCTGTTCTTATTTTGACAATGCTGTGGCCGAGTGGTTTAAGTCGCCGACTTCAAATCACTTGCCCCTCACCGCTGTGGGTTTAAATCCTGCCAGGGACATTATGCTTGAAATGGCACCTGGGGTCTTCTCCTACAAAAATAAAGCTGGAAAGTCGCCATAAGACATTCACAGTGCATGTGTCACTTAAAATCGGACAATAAAAACATAAAAAAAATACTTAAAACGTGTAGATTTAAAACAAGAAGAAATAACTGTAAATACTGTAATAACCCATTCATTACTCTATGTGCACGGCAGATTACATGGTCATTTAAATATTTATAACAAAGTTATAAAGTTTATTTCAAAAACAAATATTGACCATACATTGTGAAGAATTTATATTTTATTGGTTTAAGGATTTAACAAAATGAAATCTGGCCAGTTTTTTGCCACTTTTAAAATATCTCGTGAAAAGTACCTTGATGCGTTTACGCTCCTTTATTGTCCTTTAATTATAAAGTATTTCACCATGGGTAATTGATATGTATCGATTTTATTTTAATGGCTGTAAATTTTAATTTCCCGAGTCGCTTATCGAAAAACCAATATAACATATTTATTTATTATATACTCATAAATGAAATATTGGTGAAATAAAATGCGTATTTTCATTTTCCGTATTTTCACTGTAAAAATTATTTTTTACTGCAGTGAAACATATTTTCCGTATTTTCACTGGTGTCTTGCCGGACTACTTTCTTCTTAATTCAGCCAATACACGAAATTAAACGAAAAGTCTTAACAATTGTAAGGTCAAAAAAGAGGAAGGGTATATAATAAACAGAAAATTTAAGTTCTTTTCTATAAATACAGGATTTATTTTCGTTTTGTGATATGAAAATTACCAAATTGCATATTATTTTCACTTGTGGCTACATGTACTGCCACTCATGAAATATCTATTTCATATCACTCGATGAAAATAAATACTGTATTTATAGAAATAAACTTGAATATCCTCTTTTTATTATAGTGCACGTTGGTATAAAGTCATTAAAGTTTGGATAACGGTCACGTTGATATAAACTATATACACGGCTGCTGTCGTCATGGACTCATTTCATTTTTGTTCAAGTAAAGGACGCTTTTTAATTATAAATTCGTAACAAAAATTCCTGACAGATTATATGGCCATATACAGTGTCTACATATATATAAACAAACGTTTATATAGGACCATATAACCTGTAAAAAATCTTTGTATCTGATATTATAACTTATTTAATGTCCTTATTAAGACGATAATAATAATAATAATAATAATAATAATAATAATAATAATAAAAGAAATAATAATAATTATCATTATTATAAACAATTTTTTGTGTTGGTAACACATTAAGAAATACAATTTTTATATACTGAATGTTAGATCAGGTCAGTGTTTGAGTAGTGTCCTGTGTAAGTAGTGTCCTGTTTGCCAGTGTAAGAGTAGTGGTCTGTATGTCCCTGTATGAGTAGTGTCCTGTCTGTCAGTGTGTAAGTAGTGTCCTGTTTTTCAGTGTGTAAGTAGTGTCCTGTTTTTCAGTGTGTAAGTAGTGTCCTGTTTGTCAGTGTGTAAGTAGTGTCCTGTTTTTCAGTGTGTAAGTAGTGACCTGTTTGTCAGTGTGTAAGTAGTGTCCTGTTTGTCAGTGTGTAAGAAGTGTCCTGTTTTTCAGTGTGTAAGTAGTGTCCTGTTTTTCAGTTTGTAAGTAGTGTCCTGTTTTTCAGTGTGTAAGTAGTGTCCTGTTTGTCAGTGTGTAAGTAGTGTCCTGTTTTTCAGTGTGTAAGTAGTGTCCTGTTTTTCAGTGTGTTAGTAGTGTCCTGTTTGTCAGTGTGTAAGTAGTGTCCTGTTTGTCAGTGTGTAAGTAGTGTCCTGTTTGTCAGTGTGTAAGTAGTGTCCTGTTTTTTCAGTGTGTAAGTAGTGTCCTGTTTTTAAGTGTATGAGTAGTGTCCTGTCTGTCAGTGTGTAAGTAGTGTCCTGTTTTTCAGTGTGTAAGTAGTGTCCTGTTTTTCAGTGTGTAAGTAGTGTCCTGTTTGTCAGTGTGTAAGTAGTGTCCTGTTTTTTCAGTGTATGAGTAGTGTCCTGTCTGTCAGTGTGTAAGTAGTGTCCTGTTTTTCAGTGTATGAGTAGTGTCCTGTTTTTCAGTGTGTAAGTAGTGTCCTGTTTTTCAGTGTGTAAGTAGTGTCCTGTTTGTCAGTGTGTAAGTAGTGTCTGTTTTTCAGTGTATGAGTAGTGTCCTGTCTGTTAGTGTGTAAGTAGTGTCCTGTGTAACAGTGTATGAGTAGTGTCCTGTGTAACAGTGTATGAGTAGTGTCCTGTGTAACAGTGTATGAGTAGTGTCCTGTTTGTCAGTGTGTTAGTAGTGTCCTGTTTGTCAGTGTGTAAGTAGTGTCCTGTTTTTCAGTGTATGAGTAGTGTCCTGTTTGTCAGTGTGTAAGTAGTGTCCTGTGTGTCAGTGTTTAAGTAGTGTCCTGTTTGTCAGTGTGTGGGTAGTGTCCTGTGTGTCAGTGTTTAAGTAGTGTCCTGTGTGTCAGTGTGTAAGTAGTGTCCTGTGTGTCAGTGTATGTAGTGTCCTGTTTGTCAGTGTGTAAGTAGTGTCCTGTTTGTCAGTGTGTAAGTAGTGTCCTGTTTTTCAGTGTATGAGTAGTGTCCTGTTTTTCAGTGTACGTGTAGTATCCTGTGTCAGTGTGTAAGTAGTGTCACTGACACTGTCACAGTGTGTGAGTAGTGTACGTACTGTGTGCCAGTAGTGACCTGTGTGTCAGTGTGTGGGTATGGCGCTGTGCTTGTACACGTGTAGTGCACTGTCTGTGAGGTCAGTGCTGATTAGTGCCCTGTGAGACATTTTCTGTGAGACAGAGTCTGGAAGATGTACGAAAACTTTTTCTAGTGTCAGCGACCACCGTTGTGTCAGTGGTTTCTTGTAGACCAGTCTGTGGGTCGTGTCTGTGTCCTGTAGTCAGTGTGTGAGTTGTGCCCTGTAGTCTGTGTGTGTGAGTAGTACCCTGTATGTCAGTGTGTGCGAGTAGTGTCCTGTTGTCAGTGTGTGAGTAGTGCCCTGTAGTCAGTGTGTGTGAGTTGTGTTTTGTAGTCAGTGTGTGTTAATTTTATTATTTTTTCATACGAAAGATTATTAGTAATTTAGTGGAGTAGCGGGGGATCGAACTCGCAACCCCTAGACTTGTAGTCAGACAGTGTTACCACTGCACCACAGCGCCCGCTCTGATTTATTAGTATTTTGGAAATCCCTATATACATTATCGCATTAGTAAACTATGTAATTGAATTTTCACACCTAAATAGTTAATATAGCTGTGTTTCACAATGGCTGACATTCGTGTCCTTGCCCGAGGGGTTATGATAAAGGACTTAACACAAACAAGTAATAAAAGGAAAATAAGTAATCGATACTTGTTGTTAATGATAAATTATGGATTTAAACAAGTCTGTTCAAACTAGTTTCGCTAGTTAAAAATAGTTCTGTTGGTGGAAATAAGGCATGTTAAAGCAGCAAACCTTCGGGCTAATTTTAACTTTCATGAAATTTAAAAGATGTAATGTTAATTAAAGGTAAATTATTTTTAAGTGAACAATGAATGAAATTTACATAAATGACAAACAACACTTTCAATCCACGTAAATTACCAAAATAAATGTCAAAATATGCAAAAAAAGCCCTTACTACGTTAGTCACGCAAACTATTTATATTTCTATTACACCTCATTCACCATAAATCGACCAAGGGACTCAGTTGGTAATTCGCGTGAATCCACAAATATCTATCAGAAGGTAGTTGGTAATTCGAACTTTGCATGCTTTCCCCTCAAAACAGAAAGTATTTTTCCGTAATAAATATAACGGATATGTGGCAAGATGGATGTATTCTTCAACATTGATACACCCTGTCTCCCTGTGTCCACCAGGGGACTCAGTTGGTTTTTCGCCTGAATACATAACCACATACTAGAAGGTAGTTGTAATTCTACTATTGCATAAATTCCTCTGAAAACAGAAAGAATCTTTTATCTGCAACAAATGTTCCGGTTATAGAACTAAATTTTATGTGTATTTTATAATATGGTAACACCCCTATCA